AAGTTTGGCACATTCCTCCTGGGACACCCTGTATATCGGGTGTTTCACGACTTTAGGGCATAACTGCAGGAGGTGATTTCCTAGGTCTTTGTGATCAAAAAAGTTCATATAAACATGTGTCCGGTTTTGGACGGTTACGGAGATATGACCGTTTTAAACTCAGAATAGAAGGTAACGATTACTGACAATAAACGGAACAAAATAATAAACCAGCATAATACATGATACATTTAAAGTATGAATGTAAAGTTAACTTCGTGAAATTACTTTTAATCTGAACTGATTGGTGCATATAGCTGATTTTCGAAAATGTCACCGCCGGCCGCAACACAGGTTGTGAACCGCGCCGGACAACTCCGCCCCCCTTAGGTAGCACTCAAGTGTCGAGATAACAAGAACGCTCTGTCTGTAGCTGGCTAAAAATAGCGACCTGCCAGCTGACAGACGCGGTTCATACGAGGGCGGGTACGGGAATGAAAAAACGGTCATAATTCCGTAACCGTCCAAAATCGGACACATGTTTATATGAACTTTTTGATCACAAAGACCTAGGAAATGATCTCCTGCAGTTATGACCTAAAGTCGCGAAACACCATGTATATCATCTCCTTTAACATACAAAAAAACTTCATTCTGCCTCAGAGTGCATTTGTGTGTTTCATACTAATCTCGCAATAAACAGCGAGTATTCCAATAACATCAACTTCAACTGGTCTCTGTAATTAGGTTGTGGTATGTCCGCTGTGAGGCAGGAATTAGATTTTCAAATATTATTTGAAGGAACTTCACGCTTCGAATGGATTAATGTTGGCAGCACTGTTAAACACGCTTAAAATTATGAGTATGCGACTTGTACGTCTATCAGGTACGAAACGAAAACTTGCAAAGTATATGAAGATGTTATCTGCAACTCTGTTTATATACAATGATAAACTGTGTTCATACCAGAGATTGCTGTAAATCTATTTCGGCTCCTCACACATATGACACCCATATTATACACCACATATCCGGTGACACTACACTCACTACCAACTTCGATGCGTAATGGTTGCCATGTGTACTGCGGCGTGCATAACCAGCTTCTAACAGCTGCTTCTCGCCGGAGCGCGCCAGTGTATTCACGCCTATTCTTAACAAAAGAAATATGGTTTCTTGGCTTAAAACTGTGTCGTGAAAGTGGTTTCCCGTCGACTGTTGCCACTCGTATAAAACTCCACTGTACAGCAATGAATACGATAAACTAATTATATTTTTAACTGAAGCTACTTATTTTTATGACACTGTCCTCAGCCGTTGTACTCTTATAACTAAAAATTTAGATTGAATTCACCAAAATTCATCGTACCTAACCCCGCCCACAATCGATCAAAAAATTATATTATTTTTAGCAAAACGTATCATGAATGCTAATGTTTTAACCCTTACAAGACGACACGCGCATGTAAAAAGTTGGTTGCCTTCCGATGATGGCCGAAACATTCACAAGCTCTGTTTTATTACCAAAAAGCACGGCTGCACTTGAAGCAATTCGATCCTAATTTTACTTCTACGAAGCTACTGAACTGTACAGAAGTATTTAACAATCAGGGTCTTCTTGTAAAGGATCTTGTATCATAACATGCTATTCTACGAACTACCGGTCATTCGTTAATACTGCAATTTTTAAATACAGCACTGTATTGTTAATACTGCTGTAACATCCGCCGGGAATGCAACGGGAAGTCTCATCATTTGTTATACAGTACAATAAGCTTCCAGAGACTTCTCCCGCATTCCTTTCCCAGCCCTGTACAGCACAGAATACGTCGAGCCCGACGTTTAACGCCATCTCCCACCAATAACAAGTCAATCGCAAACCTTCTCTCTCCTTTATAAGCAAACTACACTTCACGCACCCGCATCAAGATACTATCAGTACTCACGTAAGACTGTTCGTGGCCTACTATACACTACCTAAGCCCACGCGCGTATAAAATTCAACAGTTCGTTGCTATGGTAACTCGAAATTGCGTAATTTCAGGACTTGCTTCTCACAGCAACGTTACTTTTTTACTTTCTAACGCGCGCAGTAAAAAAAACCCGTGGCCTGTAGTCCGCAAGCGAACTATACCGACCGAGCGACCGCCGCTTGTCGGCGAATTTAATGCCAACTTTTGCGGATAGAGGATGTCACGTGGTCAGGCGCGCAGTAAAAAAGAAAGTTGTTTTACTTTATGTGCTTAATTAATTAAGCACTATGCCATGAATAAATGGGGGAGGGGGGTATAGCTCCACCATTCTTGAACTTGGCAATAGATGGAGGTGGTCAGGTTCACGACCCGGGTGCTTTACTCCCGGGAAATCGCCACCGGTAGGTACTCATCGGATGGGAGACTGGGTGAGCCCCACAGTCGGTCTGGTTGCTATGAAGAAGATAAAAATCTTACCTCTGCCACAAGAGATTTTTCACCTCTTCACATAGTCTATACCGGCTCTGGGACCTACCCAACCTCCTGTCCAATCAGTACCGGGGATAAAGCGGCCGAGGTGTGAAGCTGACCACTCACCTACATCTAGTGCTGAGATCAAGAATGGTGGAGTTATACATCTACTCCGCCATACACTTTCATGGTGTGGTAATTAATTGCGCAAAGGAAGAACTTTATCTCCCCTTGACACATGAGACATTGCCTCTATCTGCCCTTCTGATTTCAGTTCATATATTATTGGAGGTAAAAAAGGGTCAGTTCTAAACCCGTGAAGGAGAGCGTGCAAAACACAGCTGTGGTTGCATCGTCAGATACTGACGAAGTCCCGTCGTGTGTTGAACGAGATTTCCGGTATGGAACAAAAATGGCCGCCTTATGGGAAATCTCATTAAAAAAACAGTACATTTATTCCGTGAGGTTTTTTTTACTGCTAGTGGGGTGGGACTAAGTCCCTTGTACTGCGGCCATTTCTGGCCTAATGTACCGGCCCCAGATGATAGGTGAGGGTGATTGTGGAGCAATTGGTGGAATGAAGATTGGCAGGGGAAACCGAAGTACTCGGAGAAAACCTGCCCCACCGCCACTTTGTCCACCACAAATCCCACTTGACCAGACCCCCGGGATCGAACCCGGGCCACCGCGGTGGGAGGCCAGCGACTAACAGCTTGAGTTATGGTGCGGCCTTTTCCGCATGGTTGCATTACTCAATGTATCACGTACCCTCAACACTGATACAGACAAGGAGAGACTTATAACATAAAGGGAACAATACAAAACAAAGCACACAGCAGCACAGCACACAAAACTACATGATGAACTACATCATGAGTTCCTTTCTTGGTTATCACCATTAAACTTTGAACTTCTGATCTGATCGGTTCTGAGGTCACCAGTCCGCTGAGTCTC